AAGACAAAGAAGCGTTCCCAAGCTGCTTCTACTGTGACAGCAGAACTCGCTACCTGTAGCCTGTACCAAAATAACCAATGCAGAGCAACGCTTGGAGCACTTAGGAGTGAAGAGGTGCATCAACTGTGGCTCGCAGCGACATACCTATTCGAAATGCAATTCTACAGGGTGTCGATTTTGTGGTAAGGAACATCATACGCCGTTGTGCTCCAACCCGTTGAAGTCAAGGCTGCACATGCAAAGACGAAGGAACCTACTAAGAAGAAAGAAGGCAGATAGCGTCAAAATGTGGCTCTTCGAGAAGGAAGCAGATCATCAGATGGAGAAATGAAGAACTCGCAGGAAGAAGAAAACAGGGAGGAAATAAGACGAATGATATGTTCCTTCTATCAGGAGCTTCCCACAATGAGCACCCTCGCACAAGAAATCCCATGTACATTAATGTGCTCATAGATACATGAGCAGGGGCTCTTCCTATGCGCTGTTTCATCAAGGTTTCATTTACGTCTATGAAGCTATCAACTTTTGCAGCTTGTCAGTCCAGAGAAATTGAATACACACATACCGAATTGGAAATCTGGAATGCTAAAGAAAAAGTGTACAGCTTACAGCTTTACACTCACGACATCTTCACAGCAAGCTACAAAGAAGGAGTACTTGAAGCCGAACTTTTGCACCCATGAAAAAGAGAATTGCATAAACTCATGCTGCTGAACTGTGGCTTCGGGCCCTCCTCAGATAATGCCCAGCTGTGATTAGCTCTTTGAGCTTTGTTGACTTTGAAGCGCCGCACTTCACGCTACCGTTCGGATTACTCCTCTTTCTACACATGTAGGAAATAAAGTCTCTGGAAAACAGATTACAGACGAAGACTTCCTCAAAAAAAAAGATCAACTTCTGTGTGCACGGCACAACTGCGACTCAATGACGCGGATAGAAGAATTGAGTAAGTAGAGTTTGCCGATCCTGAAAAGTTGCAAAAGCGAAGGTAAACGCCAGGGTGCTCGAAAACGTCAACCGCTCTATAAAAAAAGCGCCTTCAAGGGCATTTTCAGATGCCAAAACGGATTCTGCTTCTTGCATTGACTAGGAAGAAGACTAGAACCTCGAACACCGAAAAAAGTCGCTATGAAGATGAAAAATGTTGCGTAAAGGCGCGCTTTTCCCGAGTATTCTGAAGGTTTCTAGGCCCACCGTGCCATCTTGGTCACAACAGTAGGATTGCAGTGAACGTTTGGAGGACAGCTGGAGCATATTTGACATCTATCGCCAGGATAAATGCATCAATAAAGCGCTTGCAAGCTGATTCCGAATCTACTTGCATCGTCTTCGGCGCCAATTTCAATAACCCTAACAAGACAAATATTAAGCAAATGGATTGCTAGAAGAACACTGGGAGGGTCGGGGTCAGATATTAATAGTGCGAACGAGAGGCGGCTGTTTGGCTCAGAAATTCGAAAGGTCAAAACAGAGGTTTGCGCAACATTCACTGAAAATCGAGACGCGAGGGCAACGTCCTGTTCACCAACAGAGGAGTGTTCGAGAACACAGCTAGCATACTTGACGACATTATCTCTAAGAACTAACAGTCCTCTTCCGTTAGTGAGTTCGACGTTGTCCCCACCGCTCGATTTTTAGTGAACGTGGTGGAAAGCGACCTTCACTTTGACTCTTTGAACTCCTAAGCTGAATAGCAGGCTCTTGATCGCACACCTAGCTCTCTCAGTAGTTCTCTCAGTGTTCCTCTAGCAAGCCATTTACTAATATTTGTCTCATTAATGCTATTGAACTTGGCTTCGGAGTCGACGCCAGTGGACTCTGAATGAATGTGCAAGCGAGATTTGATAAGTTTATCCTGGCGAGTAGGCGTCAAGTATGCTCCAGTGGTCTTCCAAACGTTGACTACGATGGCACTGCGCATCTAGAAACTTTCAGAATACTCGGAAAAGTGCGCATTCATGTTGGCGTTTGCCATCTTCATAGCATTTTTTCCGGTGTTCGAGGTTCTAGTCTTCGTGATGATATTTTCTGCTTATTCCACACAAGGTTGGCAAGAAATTTATGTTCTGAATGCGATCTGTCCGAGATACCTCCCGTCTGTGCTAGCCGTGGCTTATCTGGTGTCTCAGGAAGTTACGATGATTTTGTCTCTCTATTGTTGACGTGATGAAAGGGGGGGGGGAAGGCTCGAAGGTCTACGTGGGGATGTTAGGTATTTGGTCAAGCTCATGAATCAACTTCCACCCTTTCAGGCTCTGAAGAAGGTGAACTCACCGAAAGTCAGCCAGCGAATAAATTTCTTGCCAACCTTGTGTGGAGTTAAGCAGCAAATAATGTCACGTCACCAAAATGCCGAGGTTTATCGAGAGTCAAACATGGGTTCTAGTCTTCTTCACAGTCACTGCCAGGAGCAGAATTTCGTGTGGACATCTGAGGATGTGTGGATGAGAACTGTGAACGGTATGGTAGCCTTGTGGACACTAAAACCAGTCTTTACGCAAAAAATTTCAGACCGTGCACTATGTTCAAAGGCAACTACTGCAATTTACCTATAACAGTGGTAGGCATAGCATAACAAAATATGAGAGGGATCAGCTGGATGAGAAAAAGTTATGGGCAAAAAAGCGTTTGGCCGAATGCTTTTGAGCGCTACTGTATAATTAATCCAGCTTCAGACTGTACCAAATAGAACAACCCAAGTTTCCGTGACAGCTTCCGAAGACTCATTACATGTGAAAGCGTGCCTGTATTCGTGCTGGGAAGTCAATTCTGAGCGGATCAAATATCACTTAGGTGTTAAAAAGCACGAGAACTTAGCAATAACCTCATTGCACACCACCACTCCATACTCACTTTGGAAAGGTGGATTCTATGAGCGACTCATCGATCAATGAGAGAAGCTTTTCCAAGGCAGCTGGAAGGAAAATATTATGAGAGGGACTCTTGAAAACATTTCCAGCCGAAATCGAAGGATTTTCAGCACAAGGCCACAGGCATACCAAGAAACTTTTCAACGACAGTTCCGTATCCTTGCGTCCAATCGACTTTATACAGAAAGATATTGTTCTACAAAGCGCAGAAGGTAATGACCGTGACAACTTCACCTCCTTCCTATGGAGAGGACAAGGTTGCAAACCCGTACTGAGACGCTGAAAGCGCTACAGTCATCTCGAGCGCTGACGGAAAATTATTGGATCGCTTAGAGAGACTCCTATCTGAATGCCCTCAAAGGGAACTGTCGACGTCACATTGGAAAAGCAAAACACGGACGCACGAAGGACTCTCCGTATTGGAGAAGTGGCGCTATTCACAGTCCTATGTCAAAAACGGTACCAATGGAAGATGGCAAAAATTTCGAACCACGTCTTCTTCTTCTCCCTAGCGTTAGTCTTGCGCCGTTGCAGGGTCCGGTCAACTTGTGAGACCTTCTTTTCTCTTAATAATGGCTACTAACTGATAACTTACAAACTTCTAAACGTAAGCGGGTCTGGAATATGAGGTAAGGAGGTTCCACTTCTTTTTAGGTCGGGATAAGACCAACTCCATCTCCTGGGTGAGTTTCTTTTTGTTTTTTTTTGTTTTTATTGTTTCAATTTATGCAAGCGCCTTAAAAGTTCCTATCGTCTGACTGTTCCAACTTCCAAAACATTCATAGTTTACAAGTGGAGTTCAAACAACGGAGAAAAAAAAGAAACAGTAAGAAACTCGGCTAGAAACCAAAACACTAATCATTTTACGCAACATCAACAAGTGAAAACTTCATAACCTTATGTACAATAAGCTCAACAAATGAAAAAAGAAGCAATAGAAGCCTACCCTAAGTGAGGCTCTCACACTTTTTGCTCCTTTCTAACCTGAATCAAGAAAGAAAATCTACTTATGTATAAACCAGAAGTTGTCTGTGTGTGTGCGTCTGTCTGACCACCCAAAAACCGAAGACAACATAAAACTGCTTCTGCTGCACGGATTCTAATTGGGGTTGCGATAGGATTAGCCAATTTTCAGGGAGCCTAAGCAAGGTAACCTAAAGGGTGTGCAGCATAGAAAATTTTGATGACTGCCTTCTAGGGGGGGGGGGTATATACAAGAAGTGAAACGGTAAAGTGCTGCAATTCTCAAAACTATTTTTTTTTCGTCCATTCGCCCGGCGAAGCCGGCCGATCCTGACTGCCGCTCCTGCAATGGAAAACTTCTCACAGGGACCCACTTCACACCCGGTAGGAGGATCGGCCGGCGAAGCCGGCCGATCCGACTGGTAGAAGACAAAAGCTATCAAGTTTGGATCACCTTTTTTGTGTCAAACCAAGCTTCAGTACCTAAGAAAATTACAGTTAAAGGAAAAAAGCATGAAATTGAGTCGCTTCTTCTAAAAGCCTTCAGAGCACAGTACTAACGTTGGTGCGCGATCTGCAATGTACCGACGATCGCGGCGATCGCCGCTGCTGTCGCGAAGTATGAACGCTGCCTTATTGGCCCATAGTTGGAAATATCCGATGATGGCGCCTTCTTCAGGACTGTGGTGATATAGGAATGTCTCCATAATCGGGGCATTTGCAAGTGCATTATGGATTGATTATATAAATATGAAAGTGGAAACGCAATGGCCTGAGCAACGTTTCTAATCAATGGGAAAGGAATTCTGTCAAGAGTTGTAGAGTTCGAGCATGGCCATTTCATGAGAAGACTGTACACATCCCTTGGATCAAAGAACGGAAAGGGCTGCATTTCACTAGAGACAGTGGGCTAAAATGAGGGTAAATCGTTATTGTCTTGTTGAAATGCTTCACTGAGCTCAGCAAACGCATTGGCCTTATCAAAGTCGTTTAGAAGCAATCTGTCTTCATACCTCAAATCCGTAAACTGAGATTTCTCACGCAGCCTAGATCTCATAAATTTGAAGGAACGCTGCTTGTCCTTAGCTTCAACAATTTTCTTTTCTATATTTCTGTTGAATTTCATGAACCTTTTGGTGAAACTAAGGAGAATCTATTGTACTCAACCTAGTCGCCGGTCAGTTCGGCATATTGAAACAGGCATTCTTTATGTTCAGGCATGTTGCGTAAATATTCTGGTAGGTTGCGCTTATTCGGATAGACGAGAGCCCAGGGGACGTATTGATCAATAGTGTGATTGAGTGTAAAGAGGAACATTGAATACTTATCATCAACTGTAGATAGTGTTTCGAAGACCCATAGGATACTGGAAAGATAACTGAGGGCGCGGGAATAGTCCCACTTATGAAACAGTCTTTTGAAAAGTGGCACGCAAGGAGGAAGGCTGGCAGTCATCTCAAAAGAAATGCTCGAATGATCACCATGCCCAAGAGCAGAATCAATTGATATATTGTCAATGAAGTGCTGATCATTTGTTGCTGATCATTTGTAAGTACTAAGTCTAATATGTTATCACCCCTTGTGGGCTCCTTTACCAAATGTGAGAAGGCGTGATATGCAAAAGTTTCCGCAAGAGGGTGCGAATTTTCTCTATTAGAATTCCGTTGTGCCCAATCAGTTTCTAGTATGTTGAAATCACCAATTACAATAGCAAGGCATGAGGCAATAGCTAGATTACTGATTGCTTTAGCTAGTTGTTCTGTGATATGCAATGGTGTCGACCGCGACCTGCTTACTACTTATCCTGACACAAAGTTCAGGGGCAGAAAAGTCCAACGTTAGAATTTCGTACCTTTTAGGGAACGACTGGGATAAGATTGTGGTATAATTCACAGTTTTCCTGATCAACATAGCAACCCCTCCACCAGTTCGCGCGCCCTATCACAACGGACAATAGAGTAGTCACTAATCCAGCACTGAGCATGGATGGGACAGAATGGGCCTTTTTTAACCAGGTCTCAGTGAATAGATAGAGATCGAACCTATCACGGATGACAAGGTCAAAAAATGAACAATTCTTTGGAAAAGATCTAATGTTCGAATAGAATACTGAAAAGTTCAACGAACATGCACAACCACTATCATAATAAAATCAATAACATGCCGGGGAAAGGAAATCAGTTTCCCTGTGATGCGAGGTTGGACTGTGAAAAAGTCTGAAGTGTGAACACCAAGTGCTTGACGACTGGACTTTTGACAATGAACACGTTCTTCTCGACGTCTTTTTCTCTCGGCTTCGCTGAGGGACTCCCTAAGGAATACCCCTTTTTTCCCGAGAAAAACGAAGTCGAGGAACACGTTGCACAGCCATGCGCTGGTAATAACAAGGCATTATGACCTGAAAGAGCCTATTTTTCCCTTCTATGGTCCTAATCTATACACAGCCCCTGGAAAACAACATACATCAAGAAGGCATAACACGTTGAGTACACTGTTATAGTCATAGCTCAATTCCCTAACAAAGTCACAATTTTCCAACTCAGGTATACCTGCTATTATAGGTGACCTTTTACGTTCTAGTTCGATACAAGCAATATTGACAGCCGGCGGTGGTGGAGGGTCAGGATGCTCAGTATCATTATCAGTACAACCCAAGGAAGTGCCAGGGGAAATGCATTATTTCTTACGGAGCAAAGCATTCTCAGCACGAAGCTGGTCACGTTCACTTTTAACATCATTCAATTCCTTTATCAGAGAGTTAAGTGCGGACTTCACGCAGTCCGGGACCGACTGCGAGGAGTTGACCGCCCTCTCTAGTGCTGACGAGGAACTGGCAATAGTGGCTACGTGGACGGACACGACCTTTTCGTACCTTTGAAAGAAACACGAGGAGTGTCCATAGTTGAAAAGACAGGAAAAATATATGAAAAGTAGAATCAATAGACCTTATCGTACAACCCAACAAGAAGAAAACTGATCACGAGTCGTTCGTGACCAACGCAAATTGGAAGTCGATCGGCAACTTTGACTGGATTCGACGACAAAAAAATAGGTAACAGTGAGTAGGAGAACCAGTCGCATGCACTAAATACCCAAAAGAAGAATGGCGAGAGGCCGCTGATAGTAGCAATCCAGTAGAAACAGTAGAGTATGCGAATATCAGTGAGAATTTGAATATCAGTAGAACAGGTGCGAGAGCAACCACAGAACCGATCGCTGGGCGCCGGCGCACACTCTTTTTCCCGAACTTGATCCCGCGGTAGTTGGAGCACTCCGTCGCGTCCCCTTTCTGTTTGAAGATGGGAACGATTGTGCTGCTCCTCAACGCATCTGGCATCCTTCCTTCAGCCGTTACCTTGTTTAGGAAGTGTGTGAGCCAACTCACCCCATGCTCTCCAAGGACCTTCCATGCCTCTATCGGTATTCCGTCTGGACCTACTGCTTTCCCAACTTTCATTCTCCCGAGCTCTCGGCGGACTTGATCCTGCGTCCAGGGAGTGATGGGGCCTGCCGTCGCCTCTCTGTGGTCTATTCTTGCGAGGAATTCTTTGCTGAGAAGTCCCTCGAAGTATTTTCCCACCTCTTCCTGACTTCGGCTGGTTTCCTGAGAGAATGGCCCCGTTGCTGCTCTTCACAGTCTTTGCGACCCTGATGTCCTGAGCAGCGCGATGCCGAGCTTTAGCCAGACGGAAGACGAACTTGTCCCCTTCTCGGCCTTCCAGCTTGTGGTACAGGGCGTCCATTTCCGTATTCATGGCCTTAGCAACGGCTGCCTTGGCGAGTCGCTTGCAGCTGTTGGAGGCAGCGAAGTCTTCTAGGCTCTTTGTCTTCTGCCAGCGTTTATGGGCTTCCTTCTTCTGCCTGACGATCCTCTGGACTTCCTCGTTCCAGGACCAGGCTGCCTTGTCTCCTCTGATACCACCTCGCCTTTCTCCCAGGACCTCCCTGGCACACTGTAGGATGACCTCTGCTACGTAGGTCCTAGTGTCCTGGACTGGCCCGTGTGGGTCTGGGAGCCCAGCCTCCAGTATTCTTCGGCCGAGGCTATCCTTTTCTACCTTGCCCATTTTCCACCACCGAATTCTCCGCTCCGCTCTCACTCTCGTCTTTTTGGGGAGGTCTATGACGATGTCTGCGAGGAGAGGCCTGTGCTGAGGGCCCAGCTCTTTCCCATGCAGTACCTTGATATCCTTGATGGTTTTAAGAGACGATCTTCTGACCAGCACATGGTCGATTTCCGTTTGTCTCCCTCTACTGCTATAGGTTACCTTTTGGGTCCTCCTTTTCGCGGAGAAGGTGCTGCAGATTGCTAAGTGGTGGGCTGTGGCTAGGTCAAGGATCCCCTCTCCCTCAGCGTTCTTTGTCCCTATTCCTTGACCTCCGTGCACCCTTTCCAGACCCCTTCTATCCCTCCCAACATGGCCATTCAGATCCGAAGCTATGGTGAGGTAGTCCTCTTCTGAAAGCGATCTTATGGCCTCGTTCAGGGTCAGGTAGAACTCATCCTTTTCCGCCTCGGAGCAACCGGATTGTGGTGCGTACAGGGTCAGTACTGTCCAGTACCCCTCCGTGTCCATTCTCACTCCCATGATCCGGTCACTGATCCTGTTCACAGTGGAGACGCCGTCTTTGAGGGATTCTACCACCGCCATGGCCACGCCATTCCGTTTGGTGTCTGCTCCATTGTACATAAGTTTAACACCTTCTCCACGCGTTTCCTGAAGGCATAGGACTTGGATATTCCTTCGTCTCATGAGGTCCGCAACCTTGCGAGACTTCCCGGTAAGCGACTCCACGTTCAGGGTCCCAATTCGAACTAGCTTCTTTGGCCGAGGTCGTTCACCCCTCGGTAGCCCTCGTATACTGACCACAGAACTCAGGCGAGGGTTCCGCGCCACTTCCGGGTGACATCATAGCTTTAACACTGATACTCCCACTTGTCATGGTTGTTGTGACGGGTTCCTCCATCAGCCGGCCTGTCAACCTGGGCCTCACGCTGGTATCGTCCCCATTTTTGCAATTTTTTGCAAGGCATTGTTTCTGGCTCGGCAGGGATCGAACTCGTGGCTCAGAGTGAGATTATTAGTTTACACTCTTAACCACTCGGCTATCACTGCCTAACTTCCAGCCACGTGACACTGACGAAAGAGCTGTCAGTTAGACCATAGAAACGCGAGAAGAAACACCGCCCGTCAACAGCAAATACAATCCTTGACTTAAACGCTAAGTTGTCCAGGGATTGCAAAAAACAGCCTCTTCGCGGTAAGGTGTCGTGCAGCACGTCATGTAGAACGAAAAATTCTTGAATATAGCCAATTGCCTTCTATTTAAGAATGGCACTGGCGCTCTGAACGATAACTGCGTTAGAGCAAGCCTCCACAACCAAGAAAAACTCGGGGGACGCTTCACCTGAGTACCAACTCGAATGAAGGAAATGGAGTTTACATTCACGCAACCATGTCAACAAAATGTGAATTCTCTGTCAACGCGCAATGCATATGAAAACGACATCCCCTACATAGAAGTTACACTGGATGCCATTAAATTAGCTTCTCGATTTTGAAGCAAGATGGAAAGTGCTTTTGAAAATAGGATCATAATGCTAGAGAAGTCCTGCCCCGCTCAACAATGTTGCCTAACGATCCACTGCCCGATATGCCTGACAAATATACTGAATCCAGAATGCTGGGCTTTAGCTGCCATAATTAGACTTGGTACAATCCTACACATAGTTAGCTTTGTGCTATACAATGTTTTACGTGCCTATTACGGCGAGACGTGGTTCAACTCCTTTTAAGATGATTCTTCGGAGTTGGCAACCTAGCGTCGTACATCCTTAGTGCATTTGCTGGCACAATCTTGCAACTTTTCAATCGTTGGTGTTACAGAAATGCATGTCAATTTTCGGAAGCCCTTGCCATACTGCATCTCTGCTCGTCATATCGTGCCTGCTGAGTCGTAAACGTCTTTTCTCATCATATAGAAAGTTTTTAGACCTTTTACGGGAGTAATAAGTGCTTCGTGGATACGGCATCCGTTGTGAAGGGCTACATTGGGAAAATATGCATGTTTCCGTTTGCAGAGCTCTGATAGAATTGTTTTCGAACTATGCATGCAATAGGAGAAGCTTCATTCACTCTGTGACAAGTCATCAAACGGCTACACAAGGAAGTGCAAAGGGCCATAGAAAACAAGCTCTGTGCCCACATGGCCTCCTGCAAAGGACAAATGCGCTGATGTTTACGCTACCAGTATTTCACTCGAACTTTCCCTGGGAAACAGCTACCATGGAACCACAGGTTGTCCGGAATCCTGTGGAAGAACAGGATGCGACTGTTTATTCCTAAGCTTAGGATGTTTGGTTTACAGGAGATATGCAATGCCCACTAATGACGACATGTACGAGTTGTTTTCTATGCTCTTTGGAAAGAACTAATACACATCAAAAGGCCAACAACAGAGGAAACCACATCCTATATCACTGCTCTGCATCCCAACATCCCATTCGAACTACTCGGCACATTTCTGACCTTGGGTGTTTGGGCACTCCCACCTTTATCTGGAGTGGAAAACAATTTATAACGACTGGAAGTATGACCGCATTGTGAAGTGCTTGAACGAGACCTACGCTGGAGTGCTTTTCAAAGGTACATGCGAAACCTACGCTGCACAGTGCATAATGTCTCTGTTCACCCGCTCTATCTCAAGTTGTTTGCCGATGTGAGGATTGTGACATTCGACATCTTTCGCAGTATTGGAAAAATTTTACTTACGGTGGTTAGGCTTTCACCGCTTACAAAGGAGGTGTTTCAGGTCATGACGCGCTTTTTGGAAATGGTTTATTGCTTGTTGTAGGGGTCCATACAAGGGTCACAAAAATGGGTTTCATTTTTGCTATGCGTTTCTGGGTA